AGAAATAAACTTAATGTATCGGTCCCTATATTAGAGCTATCTTCATCATTTTCACTAGTAGTACTATCTTGTTCATCACTTTCATCATTTTCAGAACCATTGTTATTCGAATATTCATCTCCAGAATCTTCACTTTCCTTTGAGAATTCTGGAAGTGGGTCATTGTCATCTTCATCATTTTCTGAAACATTGCTTTCCAAATAATCATTTCCAGAATCACTTTCTGCACTATAATGTTGTGTGAATTCAGGAAGCAGTGTTTCTTCACATTTATGCTTAGTTGTATATGATTGTTTAGTGATTTTAGTAGATTTCTCTATATTGGCTAGGGTGATATGTTCTTGTTGTGTTCTTCGATCAACATATTTCCCTTTACATTTTGGACAATTATATTGTACTTTTTTTGTTTTGCGTTTAGAATGCTCTTCGGACAATGACATTTTTTATTTACTTTTATATATTTTATATCTGCTTTAATGTTTTTGACAAAAAAAAGTAAGGTGCAAGTGCTGTCTTAAATACTTTTTTGAATAAAATTTGCTATAAATGCATAAAACAAATTAGAGTATATTATAGATTCGTTCAATGATCGGAATTTAAATTACAGCTATACAATAGATTTCAATCTCTGAAATTAATAAGCGGTATTATAAATACATATAAATATTGATGCAGTTAGTTCTTTTTCCAGAACGCATTAATTTTCTTCTCTCCAGAACACGTCAACTTCTTCACTTTTTTTAAAGAAAATACAAAATCTATATATTATAAAAATATTATGTCTAATATAGTAATATTATGAACACAGAAAAACTATCAAAAATACACACAGAATTCTATAAACATTCATGACTTTATTTTCTGTCAAACATCTTCTTAAATGAAAAACAAGAGAAAAGTTGAAGATAATACAAAATTTTAACAAAATAGTGCATTTTTATTCAAATTGGAGAAAATATAAGCAGATTCTAGAAAGACTTGTTACTTCTATCATGAAACACCCTAACCAAAAAAAAATTCTTCAGAAGTTAAAGATAAACGTGTTAAAGCCATAACGAGAAAACTTATTCTTAACTATGAAAGCCGATATTTATACATACCACCAAAGACAATATGCAAAAACTATAACAAGGATGAATTCTTAGCCATGTGAGATGATTTCTTCAATAACTGATTCTTCTTAAACCAAAATTTAGGATTTTCAGAATAACGTAACATTATGCGAACGAATTGAAAAGCATAATCTTCGATCTTGTGTAATTAAACAATTCTCTGTATATCTTTCTAACAAAAAATGTAAATTATTTAATATAACTATTTATCTAACTAAATATATTATAACGATATCTCAT